GCAGGACAATAGGTGCAGGAAGGTTCTACACATGTTAAATTGTAAAAAAGGTAATGTTTTCCTTCTGATTTTTCTCTTGTTGTGAGGTGAGCTACGTAAAATGTTGTCATAAATGGTAATTAAGTGTTACATTAGTCACAAAATGATCTCATAGCATTTATTGAAAAATTTGAATTAATTCCTGATTTTTTTTTTTTTATTTTAGGGTGGGTTTTTGGTTGGGGTTCTTTTGTTACTTCTGAAGTGCTTTTATAGCCAACACTTTTGCAAAACTCTAGAATAAATTTCTGATAGATCTGGACATTGAGACTTATTTCTGGAGGTGATTTTATGCTGAAATCTTAAAATATCTCACCAGTAATGTAGAAAAGTCATAGCTCTGGGTTTGTTTCAGAGGCAAAGACTAAAAGTTGAATCTGAAGCTAACCATTGGCTAAATTTATTTAAATTCTAAATTTTTGCTGTTGTGTACTGCTACTTTATCATCCTGTACCATACATATTTGCTACATCAACAGTCTTATATAGTAAAGCTGTGTTTTGTCGGAATTTGAAACTGAAGTTACCACTGTTGTGTTGTGTTTTGGTTTTCCCCACAAATATCCATTGTTGAAAAAGCCTGTAAGGGATTGATTCCTAGAGATTTTTCTTGTTGCTCTGTTTTAACATTTTTGCCTTTGACTTGGAATAAACCGATGGTTTATTCTAAGAGCTACTTCAGAGACTCAAATGAGTTCCGGACTGCAACCATACTACAAAGATTAAGTAGGCTTATTTTTATTTTATTCCTGGGAGGAATACAGAGAAATTACCCAAGAAGCCAGGGATCAGGTTAGGAAAGCCAAGGCCCTGACAGAATTAGATTTGGCCAGAGGTGTAAAGGGCAACAAAAAAAGCTTCTACAGGTATGTTGGGGAGAAAAGGAAAACTAGGGAAAATGTGGACCCTCTCCAGAAGGCAACAGGAGATCTGATCACCCGGGACATTGAGAAGGCTGAGGTGCTCAATGACTTTTTTGCCTCAGACTTCACCAACAAGGACTCGTAACACACTGCCCAAGTCCTAGAAAGCAAAGGA